TAACTTTAGACATGGCCCAAACGAGATGCAGATTCCTCTACTTTACTTACTACTTCACTAATCATCATCTTGTCTATCATTTGTCCTCTCTGCCTTTAGGCCTCTCTCCCGTTGTTTGCTCTCTTACAATCCCTCAGGGTGCTGAGGTTTCATTCTCACCCGCAGCTTCTTGTCCCTGAACAGCAGTTTGCGTCCGGTCTCGTTGAGCTCCAGCCAGTCAATCTTGGAGTCGTGGCTGATGGTTCCCAGATTGTAGCCCCCGGCCAAGTCCACTGGGGTGGGGAGGCAAAAAAAAAAAAAAAAAGACAGGACAGCTTAAGCGAGCAGCGGTCAAACAGCTAAAGTGACAATGTATCTGGCTAAAATTGGCCTTTAGTTCAAGATTAGAAACCAGCCAGTCATTATATAATCATTATTAATTCCATCAGGCAGAGTGAGCAGTTTCTTTACTTTAAAAACTTACCTGCACTGGGATCAAGTTGATATTATTAGTCTTGAGATATATCAGACGTACATCAACTTTTTAATTAAAATGTAATACGTTCCAGTCAGTGTGGTCCACTCAATGGAAATGATACAGTTCAATTGATGTTATACTGCAATTATTATAGTTGTAGCAATTCAGGAGTTTAATATTATCATGGCGAGTAATCATAATACAGTCTATAATAATAATAATGGCAGCATCATCAGAATCTTACAGTGCTCAAAAGCTGCAGACTGAAGCTGTTCTCCAATTAAAAGACATTTCACAAGCCCACAGTGCAAAATGAACGTGTTAATCTGCAACAGATGTAGATGAAACCGATGACTCACTATTACTTGGTCAGGTACTGAAAAGTCACTCACCAAGCTATTCTTGGCGTGGAACAAAAACCCACTGCAGATTTAAAACCACATTTTGCATTTTAAAGTCTTCCAGTAGATCCTACTAAACGTCACAAACTGCACCTTTAAAGCAGTAAAACCACCAAAGCTTTGTTTTTAAGTATGTTATGTTAGAGAATAGTCGACCTTCAAGATTGAATATCAGTACAAATTATTAGAAATCAGCCAGTTTAGCTGAAAAGTACAGGAGGTTAAACCTTAACTCAGAATTTTAATTGGACCAATGGCTACAATAGTCATGTTCACATCCACAAATTCTCCTTTCACAAACACACAGTCTTACCAATAGCAATGGTCTTTATATCAACCAGATATGCAAGCTTCTTGTTGTCTTCGACTCCCCTCTGCTTCCTCTCATTTAGTCGGACGCTACACGTACAAAAACACACACACAAACACACACACAAACACACTTTTAATAAAGGAATATTGGTCAGAGTAACAGAACTTAACATTTCAACATGTACGTTTTAAATCCGACATCAGCTCAGCGTGATAATTCAGCTGCTGTTCATCACACTTGAATTCCCAGGATACCACTGATCATGATGTTGTCATGCTACAGCGTCCAGCCAGAGGCGAGGAGCAGTCACAGCATCCTGAAAACCTGCTGGCCTCAACAGCAGTCGGCCATTAGTCAGTCACCCGGGGACTGTCAGTCCTGACACTTTTGACAGGGCTGAATATTTTAACATGGATGCTGCCTGCTGACTAGTCTCGCTGACTCTCTTGAAGCCTCACTTTAATGATATCTGGGGTTTCTGCACAGCTCAATACACCCATCTAATGGACAGAGCGGGAAACTGTTGATTAGAAATGATTAGGGCGGTCAAAGTTATTCAAAGACAGAAGTGTGAGCAGTTTATTTGAACTCTGTTTATACTAAATTGGCATTTTTAGATGTTTATACTTAAAAATGATTAATTTTACAGAGGATAAAGGACTTTTTTAAATTAACATTTATTGTATTTAATTAACAGTTTCCTTCCAATTGTAGATTTGCAGATAATATGTTGGACTGGTGTCAGAAATACAGTAGTAATAGGTAATTTTTAGTTTTAACAACACAAAAATGGTATATACATATATATAAATGGCTATTATTAAATGCAAATTGTGACTTTATTCAATTTTGAGGTTTATTATTCCCAGTAAAGTTGTGTCAGGTAATTTTGTACCTTTACTGTCTTGAGTCATTGCTGAAAAGCTTCATTTGGCATTTTAACAGTTGGATCAGTAATATTATTAATTCTCTCAATATGTACAAATCGGTTGGTTCTTTGGAACCAGACAAACCTGTTGAGGCGTTACTGAACCAACTTAATAAGACCTACCTGATGAGGTGAGGGTTCATAAATTCGGTTCTGACTGATCCCAGGATGTCATTGTTGCTGTATTCCACCAGGCTCAGCTCCCCAGCATTAAAAATCATACACACCTGAAATACAATAAAAACACAGTAGGGTGAATTATAAGTGTTATAGAGCTGGTAGCCATATAATGTAAGACACAAGACATGACAAGACCTGTAACACTCCTGCTGTAACGGAAGTGTAATTATATTCAACAGTTCTTTGTCTCTATAACAAGTAGTGTCTTAACAGGTAGATGTTCCTCACAACAGCCTTCTTAATAATTACCTTCACATTGCCAAAAACACACTGTGTGTACTCACCGTTTCATTTTCAAAGAAGAACTTTTCATTTCCCCCAGAACCGGGCCATGGCACCTAAAGAGAGAGGCAGCAGAATAAAGACTTTAATTTAAACATTAGAGCAACACTTACTGCAAATTATACAGAGTGAACAGTCGACTTCCATTTATTGTGAGGAGGAAACAAGGAAACCATGTATGTGTGATCTGACACAAACTTGTTTTCAGTGGAACTACTGCAGAAGTTGATTATTCAGAGTAACTGGGACATGGTTTCATATATCCTAACTAGAGATGTGCACGATTAGTTACCTAGTCAATGCTCTCTAATTAGCACCAAGAATACTAGTCGGTTATAATAATAATGAAAAAAAATAAATATAATTTTTCTTTATGATTATTACACAAGGTCAAAGGGATACATACTGGTACACCTGAAGGAACATAACAACAACAGCAAAACAAAACAACTAGAAAAAGAAAAAAAACAACGCGGATTAACTGTTCCATTCCCGCGCTAATTCCTGGATGTAAACCAGCGAGTGGGAAAGTGTGACAAAGATGTAAAATCATCATCTTGTAAAATCAGTGTGGTCTGGCAGTGTTTGTATGAAAATGAGGCTGTATGTAAACTATGTAAAAAAAAAAAACTGGCGTATAACCACTCGACCGGAGCAATACGTAACCACATTCAGCACAGGCATGTGGGCGACAACCTGCAAAGACAGCAGGCTGCTGGTGCTGTCACTGCTAACGTTAGTCACACTCGCTGTGATCCTGGCTCGGTCTGAAAAGATAACGCATCACGCACAAACTTATTGATTAAATTGTGCTCGATTTGGACAGTTTTCTGTGTGATTTCTTACTTTCAGACAAATTGACTAGTATAAATGTGGAATTTCTTTGAACATCCATATTCAAAACCTCAGCAGATAAACTCCAGACAAGATATCACTGAAAGAAAGAATGAATATATGTTTGTTTTTTTGTGATTTAGGTGAAGAGACCCTTTAAGTCCTACCTCACTCAGTTTATTTGTCAGCAGGTCGCCCAGCAGAAGCGTATCAGAGGTGTGAGCCACCAGGTAGCGATCTTTGCCCATGATCTTCACTTCTTCTATCTCATAACCGTAATAGGACTTCAGGACCACCCGCGTTCCTGTGGAGAGGTTCTTCACTATCACCTAGAAGAGGAGGAAGATATGAGTTAAAAAAGTGAATAAAGGGCCAAAAAAGAGAGAATAAGACACAAGAAATTAATTTCTTTTTCATTCTTATTTTGAAAATAATAAGGGTGAAATTCAATGAATTTATGCATCAGGACAATAAAACTACATTGACCATAGTCTTAAAAGTGTATTTACATGCTATGGATCAGCAGGAAGAATCACTCCAAACAGGAAAGAACGAAAACGCTGTTGAATTTTAATACATAATTACAAATGTAATTATCAGCTGTCTCATTAGCTGCTAGGATGAATTTCTCAATTATAATAATAATCATCACCATAATCAATTTTAATTTGTATCTTTATTTTTTTATTTTAACCAGTCGCAAACTCAACTCATGCTTTAATTCATCTAATTTTGTTAATCAGAAAATCCTAGATTGAGTTCAAAGGCCATTTTTGCACATTTATATCAGTTGTGTTTCTCCAGCATTATTATTCTGTGGGATTGTCACAGTTCTTAAGTTATTTTTATTACAAATAATAAAATAAAATGGAGATAAGGAACTCACACAAAACATTGTTGGAAACCACTTTAATTAACACGCCTGTAAGACATACGACTTATTTTCATTCTGAATTTGGTCCGAAGACCGGTCATATGTTTAATTGAAAATTCCTTTCAAATGCATCAATTAATCAGAGAATCAGAAGATACTGTAGCTAAACAAGTGCTTGATAATTGTTTCCAAAATCTTAATTTACGCTGACTCTTTCTTAATTAGGATATTGAGATACTGGATTGTTTTTTGCACTTAAATTAATTAAAATCGGAATTATTGAAACTGTATATTTTCAGTTTGGTAATTGGCAAGTGAAAGAGAACAAAGTGACGGCTGGGAGTGACAACTTATTGTGGCAGACCAATAACTTGATTAATTTTCTATTTTTGTGGTTGCCTCTGTCTGTACCTGGCTCAGGCCGACGTAGGTCATCTCAAACTTGTTCTTATAGATTGCTCTCCGCAAGCAGCAATCAAACAGCTCCACTCCTCCACACAGAGTTCCCTGAGAACACAGAACACACACACAATAAATAAATACATAAAACACCATTTATATATATATTTCTGTTTTAGGCTGGTTTTTAATGTATTGATGAGGAACTAAGTGGCATGGTAAAGATACAGGACATCCATTTCCAACAGTAAGCTCTTTAATACAAAAGTAATTGAAAGCACCAGTGTGGAGGATTTAGTGCCATCTAGAGGTCAAGTTGCAGATTCCAACTAAATGAATACTGTTTGTCTTCCAAGCATGTTGGAGAAACAACAGTGTAACGAAACTCACGATAAGCAGGAAAGGCCCTATCAAGAGCTAGTGACAAAAACACACACGTTATTTTCAGGTGATTATATATAAATTATACCTACATGTTACACATTAGACCTTTAAGTCTAAAACCAGCTTAAGTGAGGGACCAGAATACTCCATGTGCGCACATATACTAGAACCACTGCTGCAAATCTCCACAGACGAAGTAAAGAGGAAAAGGCAAATTAACAGTAGGCTGGCGTTAAAAGTCACACTCTGGATTAAAATAATGCGATAGATAAAGTATTTACAGCACAGAGGCGAGATCCGTCTTTCTTCCAGGCCAAGCTGGTGATGGTGTAGAGGTTGAGAATCTCTTTAGGCTTGGCTTCATCCCACACACTTCTCCTGGGAGCCCAGTTAAACACCCGCAACCTTGGTGAGATATCAGGAAGAGGAACAACTTCTCAGGTACTAAAAACCACTTGCTTACATTGAATTTACTCACGTATCACCGTACTGTCTGTATATCAACTGAGAGAACATATACTGACCGGTCGTAACTGCCGAACACCACAGACTGCCCGCCGGGGCTGGTGGCGGCCACGGTGAACTCCCTCTCCGTCCGGTCGCGGGTGTAGTCGAAGGTCTGCAGGACGTGACCCTCTCTGCTGTAGGCCACCACCTTCTTGTCGCAGCCGCCCACCATGATGCCGTTTGCACCCCAGGCCAGAGCGTAGGGTGGGCACGGGTGCATCAACAGCTTACCCTGTGTGTCAGAGTGTGTCAGAGTGTGAGAGGGAGTGTGTTCTGTATGTGATAAATACAGCATGTAACAGGAAAATGTTCATAATAGGATCGGTGAGGATGTGGGTACCTGAGAATCCCCTGAACCTTCGTCATCGAAGAAGTAACGCACCACTGTCCCATCAGCGTGACCAGAGAGGATACCTTTACCAGAGACACTGACACAGAACAAATACAGTCAGTCAGCACCTTACACTAACTGTGGGTCATAATTACATATGAATATGCATTTACTTGGATGCCAGTGAGACAACGCAGGACTCAGTGCCATAGATGGTTGATGACTTGTTGGTCTGAGTGTTGGCCAGGCGAACCTACGGGAAAAAAGAACATTAAAATGATTTAAACATACAAAAT